AGACCCCGGAGAAATATCAAACTCGAATGCCATCTCTGGCATATATAATTGTTCAAGGAATGCCATTGGAACTTCAGGTTAAAACATTGTTTTATCTAGATTTCAGAATGTTCATAGTCATGGTTAATTATGTATTTTAGATAATTGTGTACAGACTGAGTGCTACTTGCCCGGTTATGACTTAACAAAGATTGACAATGGTAATCTGATTACTTTTGTATAAAAATGATTTTTTTTCATAATAATTATTAAAGGTGTGAGTGTCTGGACATTAACAGAGCTGGACTGTCAATGCTTCTGTACCAAAATCAGGAGAAATACTTCATTAAATTTAACACACAAAAAAAGAGTGAAGGCAGTAAACAATTACCATTATTAGTTACCTTCATATTGTTATTTATCTGTTTAATCATAATGACAATTCAGATCTAAACTTTTTCCGACACTTTTTCTCCATTTTAAATATTTCTTTTATCCTTTCATTTTCTATCTTTTCCTTTAATCTCTTCATTATCTGTTTTAACAATGATTTATCCTTTAAAAAAATGAAGTTTTGTATTGTCACCAAGTGCTGAATTGTATGATTGGTATACGGTCGATGGTAATTGCTGGTGCTTTGATTCTTCTAAACAAGTAATTCTAAGAAAAAATCTTGTTGGCTTCTCAGGGATTTTCAATTGTCCTTCCACGAATGTTATTGTTAATGGTTTTGATCAGGATGGTACGTTCATTAGTTTCATGACATTTATAAGATTTACAAATTGGAAAGCAAAAATGATTCGCCCATGCCTCGTTGAATTACAAGACATAGAGAGAGCCTGTTCTAGCGTACGCCCAGCCCCCTAGTCTGTCCTAGTCATAGCGCTTGGCCCATAAAGTGTCTTAACCTAACCTAACCCTAAAATATTTACTAATCTCACTCTTTTTTTAATTCAACACGGCAAGTGCACGTAACTTCCTTGGGTTACTACCTAATTGAAATGTTCTAGATTGTTCTGGAGTTAAATACTGTTCTGCTGAAAATAAAGTAGAAGGTAACTTTAACTTATAGTGATAGTCATAGATAGGATTTGATAATAAGATAATAGAGTAGAAGGTAACTTTAACTTATAATAATAAGATAATAACTAAAATGGTAAATATGTTATGTAATGAGTTATGATCAAGGTTGCCTATTTATGCATAATTTTGCATATTTATTTTATTTTGTAAAACTATATATTTGAAATATTTAAACAGATTAAAAATTCCCCATATATATACATTTATGTTGAAATATCTTTGTGTGTGAATAAATCTTTATAATATATATGATATACTAATTAAAAACAGTCATGCTCCCAGAGTAGTATCTGAAAAGATTGAATTAAAAGTTTAATTCTCTCACCCCAAACCACATTTCATTGTGAAATATTTCAGTTTCGGGAATCAATACTTACGAACTGTGTGGATGCCAATGCAGTAAAATCAGGTAAATATAAATTATTTTTATATAAATTTTGGAATTAAGTGCCTTTTGTTAAAAACTAATAAAAAAATATTTTATTCAGATTGTTGTTTTTTTATTATCAAAGAAGTTAATAATTACAAGCATTAAATACTTGATACTGAAATTTCTTCTCAAGAAATAAAAAAACTTTAGGATTTACACCTGGGTTTACTCTTTTTATTGTAATAAACAAGGAATTATATTATTTGCTTCAATTTTCAATTTTCAATTTGTTTATTATAGATTAATCATCCCATCCCCGTGTGAAACACATTCTCTATAAATGTATTTAAGGACCTGTACAGATTTTTTCTGGATTCAAAATCAAACATGTTTTCTGGTAGAACAACACTCTACTATTACTGTTGAACGCCAGGTGGCTACATACCCTTGTCCAGAAACCACAACTACAACTACAACTACAACTACAACTACAACTACAACTACAACCACAACCACAACTTCAACTACAAATACAACTACAACTACAACCACAACTTTAAATACAACCCGCACTTCAACTACAACCTCTACCAAAACCACAACTACAACTACAACAACAACTACAACAACAACTGCAACTGCAACTACAACCACAACCACAACCACAACTTCGACTACAAATACAACTACAACTACAACCACAACTTTAAATACAACCCGCACTTCAACTACAACCTCTACCAAAACCACAACTACAACTACAACCTCAAAACCAACTATAACTACAACCTCATTTACAACCTCATCTAAAACCACAACCTCAACTACAACCGCAACTAAAACCTCAACCACAACCACAACCACAACCACAACTACAACTTCAACCTCAACTACAACATCATCTACAACCACAAAATCATCTACAACCACAACCTCAACTACAACCTCAACCTCAACTACAACCTCAACTACAACCTCATCTACAACCGCATCCTCAACTTCAACCTCAACCACAACCACAACCACAACTACAAATACAACTACAACCTCAACTACAACCTCAACAAAAACTACAACCACAACCTCAACTACAACCACATCTACCACCAAAAAGAAACGTTGTAAGTATGAATAATTGAATAAAAATATTAAATTAACAGCCCTAAATTGTCTAAAACAAATATGCCTGATACAAACAAATTGCTTAAAAAAATTAAGATGTGTCTGCATGTTTTTGATTTTTACAAGCAATACCTACTTAACTAAAATTATATAATTTTGTCATAATCCCTGACTGATTTTTTGCGTTTAAATTTGTGGAAAGTGAGCAAAAATGTGTATTTTTCACATAATAAATTTACAGAACAATTATTGAATGCCATTTTTGTTTCAACTCTTTTTCAACTACAATCTTTTTCGTTTTGTCATATATATTATATATATATTATATATAAAATAGTTTTAAAAGAATATATTTAAACCATTCACATTTCATAATACAAGAATTTATAAATCTTTTCTACAATAATCAAATATAAATATCATTAGATATCATTAAATATATTAATTGATCATGTCAAACTAAACTGTAGCAATGATCATTAAATTTATAATTAAATGATTATTTATCATGAATATTGATCTAAAAAATGAAAATAGCTATTTGTCTTTTAAATAATTGTTACACATTACTACCAATATGAGATCATTATATAATAATGTTCATTTATTATGCTTTTCTTCAATAAATTATCATATTACAACCCTGACCGAGTCATAAGAAAAATTAGCTGGATTTATATTTAACCAGGTTTATAATAGTATACTTATACATACATATACCTATTAGTAATAATCAAAGTGCTTTGTGTTGTCTATGGATTAAAAAAAAATTAAAAAGAGTTTAGCCTAAGTCAACCCCCTGGAGTACCCATGGGTTCCCTACAAGGAGAATAGAATATATATTAGAGTGGAGTTTAGACAATCCATCGGTATGAATTTTGTCAGTCCTTTTCAGCCTGAAAGGGAGTTCAAAGTGTACAAATCATGTAAATGTTCACAAATTATATGCAGTAGAGTACATTAATACAGTATGTTCCCTAGAATATCAATTTCAATTTTCGAATTTTTTAAAGCAGTTAAATAAACTTTATAAAATGAATTAGATGAATAAAAATATCATTTGATTTAAAGTTATACCGGAAAATCATCGTTTGTAAAGTGAAAGGCATAGAGTCATTGGTCAATTATGAAACCAGCCTATTTCAAAATTTGGTTTTCTTTTAATATTAATTTTAGAATTTCTATAAAATGATGTTCCAGGGTCCAAAAGGTTATATAGCGCAAATATGTGAAAAATGGCTGTTTTACACTTTTTTCTAGTAAATTCCACTCTAATATATATTCTATTCTCTTTGGTTTTCTAACAAATATTCAGCGAATTCGGTCCAGCCGGCCAGATATAGTAAACACATACCATGTACATTGTACATGTACAGTGGTCGGCGTTTATAACGGGCAGCCGTAGTACATTTGAATTTCCGAGCCGGGTCAACCTTTCCATTCCCAGTTTGTACTGTACCTAGCTCTATGAACAGGACTAGCCGGTGCAACAAGGTTGACGCGGTCAGACTTTATGGCGTCATATAGGTTGAATTTACTTTTACTAAAGGGGCAGAGGTGCGTGTTATATTAATACAATGATGATGACACAAAGAAAAGTTGTTAATTGAAAGCCTCTCTTTATTTCTATGTTTATATGTATGTAATCAAAAATTTAAATCAAAAGTATTATGAGAGCAAAGAGCTTTATAACATAGATGGAGATACTCGACACAACCAAGTCAGATTGAATTTTTACTCAATCGCCTTTTGGTCTGTAACTTAACTATATCTGTTATTAATTTACAGAGTTGACATTAATAAATAATACCTTCCCTCCTACCCTAAACTCTCTACTCATGAAATTGTGTTATTTAAATTTTAAAATACGATGATAAGTTGCAGTTAAGAGTTTATTTCAATTTGCCTGGAGAATCAGCGAAAAGAAGGAGTTGCATGATTTGACATTATTTTGACACACCCAAACCAAACCCACGCCTATAGGGATGGACATCGTTGTTTCTTTATTAATTCAAGTGATTGATTATTACTTTCCCAACTGTAGAATATCCAAAGAAATTGAGTCTTTGCAACAAATCCCAATTTTCTAATAAATATATATCTACAACCAAATTATATAAACCTTTGACATTTCAAACTTTGATTGTTTAATATAACAAAAGTCATAGTTTGAAATATTTAAGGTCTACAACATTGGGTTGTTAAGATATAGGGATTTAAAAATCAGAGTTTGTGACAAAGACTCAATTCCTTTAGAGGAAATTTCTCAAATGATAAATATCCTAATTATTAAATGTAAAATATCCCAAAATGAAAGTTCCCAAATATACAATATTCCAATTTATAGTAAACTTCCCAAAATATCCCAATAAGGAAACTCTCCAATGTTCAAAATACCAATTAGCTATAGAACTTCTCAAATGTAAAATATTGCAAATATGAACTTCCCAAATGTACAATATCCCAATAAGGAAACTCTCCAATGTTCAAAATACCAATTAGCTATAGAACTTCTCAAACGTAAAATATTGCAAATATGAACTTCCCAAATGTACAATATGAAAGTGGCAATTTCCCAAATGTACAATATTCCTAATTAAAACTTTCAAACTATTCAATATTACAAATTATACTTTTTTCCATGTCAATAACTAATTGAATAAATAACTTTTCATTCACACACAATGCATAGCTAAGTTACATGGTTACCCACATAGGATGAACGTTTAATTTACTTTAAAGGACGAATTTTGTCTTTGCTCTCAATGTTTGATGGGTTTCGCTTGGGAGAGACACCTAGCAGCAAAAAATCGTCATTTAAAGCAAATTCTATGTAAAAAAAAAATTTAAAAAAATATTATGAAATATCAACAGTTTACAAATGCATCAAATTGAAATCGACATTTGTAGATTGTAATATCTTAACGATTAATTTTAAATTTAATTGAACAATTTACAATCTCGAGTGAAAAATGCAACTTGGTGAATTTTAATGCGTCCTCTTCGTTGTGAGACGTTTTTAACCATTTTCTCCTTATAAACGTAACAAATAAAATTAAAATTAGAAACAATTAATATCGAATTCAATTCGATATCACCCTATCTATAGCCCCTTATATAATGACGATCAACATTTTAATAAAATAAATTGTGATCCCAAACTTTTCTTTTCGTTCAGGATATATGGAGTTCGATGCCCAGATCTATCCCCATCACCTATATTTATATAATCATTATTCATCTAGAAATATTATTCCAAATATTAATCTTAGTGAGCAGGGGGGCGCTGATTTAATCAATTATATGATTAAAATCTAAACATGAATACTGATGTGTTCTTAAATCTAAATTTATCAATGGAGCGCTTTAGGTATTCAAATTTAGATTACAGGGCCCAAGCTGAGCATGGGTATATATATATAAACCTGCATAGATGGCCGATATCAAAAACAACTGGAATAAATATAGAAACTCAAGAGCTGAAATTGAAATACTACAAATTGCCTGATCAGCATCTCAAAATTGCATATTAACCCTCCTGGGGNATGCAGCTAATTGAATGAGCTAAACAGGACAGCCAGGAAACAAGAAGATTGGAAAATGAGTATCTGCATTCTGCATTAAATACATGTATCAATTAATTTGTTTCATAAAAAAATTATAAATAAATAAAGTGATAAAGTTAAAAATATATACTAGAGTACAGTGCTCCTGAAAAACATATTTAAAAAAACCTGGATTAACACTATTTTTGGAAATAGACTCCTATCATGAACCCTAAGTCTAGTTGGTTCAATGTGTATTCCTGTGCTCCCTATAAAATATTTTTTTTATTTTGACGGAGAAAAATATAATTTTCTGTTAAAATTTGTTGATAAGATTTGAAAATGGCTGGGTCTTAGAAAACTAAATTTACCATGTCCAAAATTGAATCATGAAAGGTCACATAAGACCCGTTAAAAGTCCCTTTAAGTTAAGGATAATGAAGTGCCCAGTGCGCGCGCGCACGCGCGCATGAATACCTATAAGCTTGACGTATGAAGATGAATTAGGGTAAAGTGGAAAGATCGGCTGATAAAGGAAATATTGACGAATACGATCTTAAAGGGACTGATGTGGGAATTTCACGTGACACTTTCTTTCTTATTGAACAATGATTTCGAAGTTTTCCTATCATTTAACGTGCTTAATTCTGACAATCTCATATATTTTTCTGAAGAAAAAATATGTTACCCACAATTCAGAAAAATTATTTTTAAATCGGACAAGCTATTCAATAAACGGAGAACCACCTGATATGACGACTACAGTCTCTTTAATTCTGGTCAAAACTGAAAAGTATAGATTGTAAAGATACATAACAATATTTACATACAGGGTGTTACAATAAACATGAAAATATAATCTGCATACAGGGTGTTTCAATAAACATGAAAATATAATCTGCATACAGGGTGTTACAATAAACATGAAAATATAATCTGCATACAG